TGGCTATTGGCAATCCCCCATCAATGGGGCGCTGCAGTAGGCGCTGCAAGGCACCCAGACACCGAAAGCCATTTAAATGTCCTGTCAAGGCGTAACATGAGCAACTCCCAAGGGGCGGGGAGGTGGAAGGAGGAAGAGGGCAGAGAGGGAAGGACATGAAAACTTCCTGCAGAGGAAAAACAGTTTCGGTTTCAATGTTTGGCCAAATAGATTCAGGATATATCGCCACTGAGAGGGGAAGCTCCAAATACAAACGATTTTTTATCTAGGATGACACAGAATTGTATTCAACCAAAGATGAACAAATTGGCTCAGTTAAAAAAGGCATTACTACTATTACTGCTAATGGAAGAGGATGTGGTATTTTGCGGGATAGTATGGTAGAGAAACTAAGAATAACTAAATTAGGAGCGAATAGGGCTCGAGAGTTTCTCTCTGTGCTTGCAACTTGCACGCAAAACAAACAAAACTGGTTAAACTTCTTTAGTTTAGCCTGTCCTTTTGTGGCCTCGAGTTGCAAATTAAATTTCACACACACAGTGGCACACATCCGCGCACACACACACACCAGGACACTTTCGGGCTAACACAGACACACACTAATACTGGCTAAAATGGGGAAAGCGCATTGCCTGCTTTTCTGCGTAATTAGTGAAATTCGGCAACAGGGCGAACTTGCAGAAAAGTGCAAGAAGCATATACGAGTACACAGCCATGCAACCTTAACACCCCTTTCGCCTTAACCCGTCGGTATCCACGCTCATTAACAGAAAAGCCTAGCGCACCGAAATTCTAAAAAAAAGAAGAAAAACGAGAGCCAACAGGGATGCACTTCATAAATGTCACTTGAAATACATTTCCATCAGGCACGTGCGTGGAGGCGAGAGATGGGACAGCAACTGACAATGGGTTAAGGTGGGGGATTCTGAGGGACGATGGGTAGTGAATGGCAGACAGGACACAATAGGGAAAGGGACTCTGTCTGGCCTTGCTCACAAAAAAATAAAAAAAACACGAGCACAAACGAAACGAAACGTGAACGTGATGATTTGTCATGATTAACGCGAGGAAAAGGGGATCCCCATTGAAAAGCGGGACTTCCCCCGACCGCCGCAATAATGTTTTGCATTCTCTTTGTTTGTCCTGCGTGATGTGATGTGATGTGCCCACATGTCAATGTCGTGGTACAGTCTCTCTCTCTTTCTCCCCCCTCTTTGTGGCCTTATCCTTCTGCCCCACGGAGTCATAAAATTGAAATTGTTACCACCAGCTTTCTTTTCGGTTTGCAAGACTCCGTTTTACGGGCTTGTTTTTAATTTTGTGATTTTTGCTGGGCACGCAACAAACGAAAATAGCAACAAAATGGTTGAATAGCCACAAAATATACACTCTGCTACATGTATTTGGCACTTAACACACTTCCACCCACACTCAACCACACACAACCACACACATCAGCCCACTCGGCTTTTGATTTCGCCTCCCACTTTGCCTTTGTTCTCTCACTCTCTCCCTAGCTCCCTCCCTCTCTCTCTCTCTCTCTCTCTCTCTCTTTCCATCCATCTCTCTTTCCGTCTTTGTAGCCCCTCTCTTTCCATTGTAGTCCCACACAAACACACGTGACGTATACGTAACCTTGTAACCAAAATGTTGTTATTTCGGTCCGCCATTTCCATGTGTTTGTGTGTGTGTGTGTGTGCGTGGGTGAGCAAAAGTTCTTGGCATTATTTTAAGTGTTCTGCTCACCTGCGCTCTCTTTCTCATATTCCTTCCCTGCCTCGCTCTATCTCTCTCTCTCTCTTTCTCTCTATCTCTCTTGGCATCATTTTTCAAATTAATACTAATCTTTGTTTCACTACGATCGTTGAAATATGTAAATGTATGTTTTGTGTCTTAATGTTGTTTGTGTAATCGTTTAATTATAGTATATATAGTATAGTTTTCTACACTCGCTTTGTACTTTCGTTTTACTTTGTGACCCCACACACACCCAAACACACACACACACACACTCACGAAATGTTTGTTAAACTTTAAACTTAGCATTTTGAACGGAACGCTGATTTTTGAACTCCTTTTTCTTACTGTTCTTACATAATCAAAAAGTAATATATAACATTTAACCAACACACCAAAGAGCAAACCTTAGAAATCAAAGTAAAACATTTATCGCAAATCAGAAAGTAAAACCTCAACTGAATTGATCAGATACGAATTAACAAACCATTAGTGAACTGTGATCTGTTTAGCATACAAGAATAATTCTTTTGTCATTTTATTGCCAAAAGATGCAGATGATTTTTTCACGAAACTTATCGAATTGTAATGGCTCCAATAATTGGCTTAATGAACCAAAATTAAATCCACACAAAAACGTCTTAAAACGTAGGCGAGCAGTCTTGAATAATAAATTATCAATCAAGCGACGCAATTAATGAATTCAAAGTATATATTTGTTTCCAGAATTGATCTTTTTTAATTACATCAAAAACATATATTTTGTTGTTGTTCTAAAAGCGATCACCAAAAAAAAAAAAAAAAACAAAAAACAATTGAAGAAATGCTATGACAAATATGAAAACAAATTTGTTTACCAAGAATCGAAAAGAACGTATGCAACTATTTACAATATGCTTTTGTAATATTTTCGCACGATACCAAAAAATAACATCAACATAAATATAAATAACAAAAAAGGACCAAAGGGAAAGCAATAACAAATTGATTAATACTTCGAGTAGACGGAAGAAAGGAAAGAAAAGATGAAGAAAGCAAATCTTTCATTTACTGACAACTTTTTGACGATAAAATGATAAAACAATTATGACGTGTATATATATCCACAATATGGCTAACAAACATATGAATATATACTCCTACTTCTCTGTTTCTGTCTCTCTTTCTCCCACACTCTCTCTCTCTCTCTCTGTCTCTCTGTCTCTGTCGCTCTTTATATATACATATATTCGAATATCTGCAAATTCAATTATTTATATATATATATATAAATACGTTACTCTTCAGTATGTTGTTTTTGATATTGATTGCGTTATTCCGCTTACTACAGACCGAGACCCAAATAACCACCAATCTTCCGACCCGCCACCCACCGCCCACCAAAAAGCCCAGATTCCAAGCCCATCTCGAGGCCGAAAAATAGGCAACAATTGTTGTCGTGTCGTTGCACCTGACTCACACACATTCACATGTGTCCGTGTGCGCTCGTGTTTGTGTATGATATATTACTTTTTGGTTTTTGTAAATATCGAACGTACCAACTATCTACAAACATTGACCGGATCCACTCGAAATCGAAATCGAACTATAACTCTCACATAACATGCAATGCAACAACTACAACACTCTGTTCATAATGGGTTCCACTCGCACACACACACACACAAAACACACACAGTTCCGACCCTCTCTCACCAACACACCAACACTGAAAGACACACTCTCCGAATGGAAAGAATCAAGAAAAGAAGTGATATTCTGCTCTGTCTGACACGACACACACACAACTAGCGTTCTTTTCATCTATCTCTCTCTATAAGTCTCTTTGTAACCGTCTCTCTCTAACTCAATCTCAATCTGAATATCAATCTCAATCTCTGACTGTCTCTTTCACACACACACTCTCTGTCTCTCTCTTTCACTGTCTGTCTAAACAACTATATGAATATATATTTTGTTTGTTTCTCCAACACACAGAACCAAATTATTTAACAAATATACTTTTGCACGTTATTTCTATAATGCATCTGAACTATATATTGTTATACGAATATTTATGTTTCTTTTCTGCGTACAAACAAGATACCGAAAGCAAATTGTACAAAACCAAAAATACCGCAATACTAAAGTACTCAAATACCCAAAAAATAAACCTGAGAAATACGAAATCAGAATCCGAGTTGCATTTGTATGCCGCGTCGATCATACGAACCAAGTCCAATACAGCAACAAAAGAGAAGCATCGACACACAGATACATTCACAGATATATTCACCCAGACACACAGACACACTTACAGGGCCACCCATACACGTTCAGTTACAAAGATACAGGCATTCACACATAAATAGATACAAAAACCAGTGACATCCTCGTGGATGTCAACCAAGTGACACACATTTCATGTTGCGCCTCCTCTCCCTACGCCCCCAAAACCCGTAACCACACCCCCTTTCTCGCAGACACACACAATCACACCACCCACACACACTCACACTCACACGTAAGCCCAACCCCCCGCCCTTGTTGAACTTTTTTTGGGTGCCTACAAGAGCCGTTGAAAGTGCCTCAGAACTAACTATATAACTAACCATATAAAGCCAAACGAAAGTTAACCAATGGAAAAACGAAAAGAGAACCAAACCAAACAGTACCGAAAAATCATAACTCATAATCAACCAAACTCATTCTATTACAAAACCTTATTGTAAATTAAGCGCAAAAAGTGTAAAAAGTCGAACAAGAAGCAAACTGATGAACTTGTAGAAAAACAACAAAAATAATGATAACAAGAACTAAGCAAATAAATCACGTTTCAAATATGGGGCCAGAATAGTCCGTAAGTGTTTCGGGCAAAAATCGCATACGCTATGTTAAATGTAAGCCAATTCTACTATACATATGTGTGCAAATCACCTCAATATATAAATATATATATGTATATGTGTGTATGTATACAGATAGATAGCTAATGTTTGTTAAGCCACGATCATGATCAAGAAACCAAGAGCAAAAGCTGCCAAAAGCTGTGTGAGCGATAACGCATCGAAGCCGGAAAAGCGAAACAGATAACAGATAACAACACCAGACCCAAGAACAGACCCAAAAGAGAGAGCTCTCTATATTGACACCACAGAATCAGATACCAGATAACAGATACCAGATAACAGATAACAGATAACAACCAACCAAAACCCAACTACCAGTCAGTCAGTCAGTCACAGCAGTTACAGCAACCAACCATTTGAAATCGCCCGTTTCAGATGTACAATAACTACACGGGCGCCAGCGGAAGCAGTCCTCCATTGCCGGACATTATTGGCCAGTACTACGGGCCGGGAAGTCTGGGTGCGGGCCCCCTGTCCTACGGCTCGGGCAATGGTTACGGCCCGCCTGGTTACGATTTGTACGGCCCCTCGACCTCGACGGCAGCCGGCGGATACGGACTGTACGAACCCCAGGTCTACGGACCGTGCCAGCAGACCTCGCCTATACGGAGAAGGCGCTACAGCATTGCCGGCCTGCCGTCGGCCACCATGTACAATGATGTCTACGGGTATCCGGCACCACCGCTGCAGCAGACCAGCTCCTCGAACATTGTGAATCTGTTGAACGAGGCACACAAGTCGATATCGCGCAGCTCGCAGATACTGAATCTCACGAACCAGGCCCGTCAATTGGGTCAGCTGGTGACCACGCCACTGGGCGGAGGCGTAGGCGTAGGCGTAGGCGGAGGCGGAGTGGGCATGGGCCTGGGTCGAGTGGTGTCCAGCTACCCCACCCTGCATCCGGGCGACACATCGCCGCCGTACCTCAACGATAACCTTATGCAGATGTCCACGAGCTTCTCCTCGCAGCCGAACATGTACTTCCAGCCGCAGGCGCAGGTGCTGCCCACCCAGCTGACGGCGGCCCAGAGTGCCGCTGCAGCGGCTGCCCGACTGCGTCCGGCCTATTCCGTAACGAATCTGGTGTCCAGCTACCCGACCACGACAGCGGCGGGCTATGGCTGCAAGTACGGGGGCTACGGGAGTCCGTACCAGAGCGATCTGGGCTACGGCAATCCCCTGGCACCCTTCCAGCAGCGCCAGCTGATGGCCCACCAGTCGCTGCACGCCTCCAATCCCGCCATTTCGCAGTACTACCAGAACCAGGGAGCCGCATCCGGAACGGGAGCCTCGGCGGCCGCCCTGGCCTACAACCTGCAGCAGCAGTTCGCGGGCACGCAGCACTATGGCGGCGGATCGCAGGGACCGCCGCTGGGACACTCGCACATCCAGGCGTCGGTGCAGCAGCAGATGCATCCGCAGTACCAGTACCATGTGCACCAGCATCAGAATCATCTGCAGACGCATCCGCTGGCGGCGCTGGCCAACACAAGCGGTCCGTTTGGCGGAACGCTGGCCAGCAGTGCCAGGGACTATGTGGATGGACTGCATCATGCGGCCCACTCGCACACGCATTCGCATTCGCATCCGCACCACTCCTCGCATCATTCGCATCACACGGCATACCCGCACTCGCATTCGCACCATCAGCAGCAGCAGCCGCATCCGCATCCGCATCAAGCCCACCATCACCACCATCTGCCATACTCGAAACTAGACTTAGATTACCCGAAACTGCCGCAAGAGCATAAGCGACAAGTAAGTTTTAAATTTGACGTAGACACGCTATCCCTAGACTCCTAAAGAAACCGAGAAATCCCCTTTCCCGATATCTGACGACCCCGACATCGAAAAATCGAAAATCGAAAATCGTAAATCGAAAATCGAAAATGATCATCAATCAGCCTCATTAATCAGAATCAGCATCAGCATCTGCATCCTATATATAAAACAATCAGAGAGCAAACGATCCCGATTGGAAGGGCTAACCGTCTATAAGCGGCTATATACCGATTAAGATATAGACGGCTGGCCGATCTGCATTTAACGCTTTCCTCTGCATCAACCAGTTGTCGCGTAGGGAGAAGAAATGACACCAAGTATTATACAAACAATATACAACATATATGATAATAAAGTGGATACTCTTAGAAGACCTAGGCTAAGTTAGGAACGTTCGCGATGGAGAATGTGGATGAGGAGAACTATTGTTTCATGTGCCATTTTAAAGTAGAGACAGTGAAGCGTAAGGCAAAGCTAACAGATTCCAATGTTACTCCGATTTAGTTTAAACATTTGGATTTACGTTCTTTGCATAGAGCACTCAGGGCATTAAGAAAACCGAAAGCCGAGTTCGGCTGCGAATTCGAATTGTTGTGGATGTTTTCCTTTTTTCTTTTTTGTGGAAAATTATAGAACCTTGCTCTTGACTCTCAGAAGTAAAAGACTGTATATAAAACTAAATGAGATTTACTCACACGTAACAACAATTTATATATACACAAGAGGAGAAATGCGAAATGATATAACGTTTACTTTAAACTTGTCTCGCCTGTGAAAAACAAAAAACAAAATCGAAATCGAAATCGAGATCGAAATCGAGAAGTAAAACGAAAATGAAGCTTGAAATTTATTAAATCAAAACCTATAGAGAGTAACTCGTACTTAGTATGAACATTCGACAACTTAGCCAATTGTTAGTGCAGCACAGACACACACTCTATCTAATCTAAACTAAACTAATCTAAGCTTAATCTAAGCTTAAGCGAGTAAGTAACGAACCCTTGCATGGACTTAGTATTTCCGCGCCATCAAGGACCTCCTATACCCAACCTACTAACTACCTAGCCTAACTAACCAGGAGCCTAATCCAATTATAACTTTTTCTCTCTCGCATTAGTGGGCATAATGTGCATTGCTAAATTATTTACCCCACTCGACTTTCTCCGTTTTAAGTGCAACACTTCGTTTTAAGTGCCCCAAACGCCTTCCCCAGCAAAAGCAAATGCAAGAGTTACGAACAAACTAGCGTGTGATTAGCAATGAAGGTCAATTATGAACGAAATCGTGGAAATTTGTATGTGCAATCTATAGCCGTATAGCCGTATAGGTGATGGGTGATGGGGATCGAATCGCTTTGGATCGCCTGGTTGAATTAGTTTTTGTGTGTCTGAGACAACAAACAAGCAAAGTGAATCGAAGGAGCATTCAAAATGTGTCTATGCGAATACTATATTGTATTATTATGTACTCGACTCAACTGGTGTTTGTATTTCGTATTCGAAGAAGCGCTTTAAACAACACTAACAAATCGGTAGACATCGATAGGTATACAAAATATATATGTAGAGTGCAACATTTGGTTTGAGCCCCAAGGAAACCCGAAAGAAATTGTTTCGAATTCACAGTGAATGCATGCTAGACTTTACTACTACTGATTACTTTTGAACATAGAAACCTTTTAGTCGAACTATCGGTTATAGTGTGCTAACTTGTTTTTTGTGCTTGAAAATCGAAATTACGCGTAGATATTTCTCAAAGAAAGTAAAAAATCTTGTTAAAGTAGTGTTTAAATATATACTAGATGAAATGATACGGGGATGTGAGTCTGGAGTTACTTTAATTTTGCCTAGTCGTAGTTCGTAGTTCGAAATCCCCCAAAATATGCAGCAATCGTAAAACAAAAACTGAAATTGTGTTCATAGATAAACATTTTTCAATTGTTTATATACGTAAATAAAGTATATTTATATATATACGTAAATATATATATATGTACACCAAAGAATGTGAGCGTAACCGAAAGATAAAAGCTTATCACTAGCCAATTCGAAAGATAGCACAATGTGCGAGCGTGTGAATAGATAAATAGATACAAAGATACTATCCACTTGCTTTTCCTACTTCTGTTCTTGTTGCTCAGCCAAACTTGATTCTCCTCTTCGACTCAGATTGATTTGTAACCCTTTTCTACAAGACGACGAACAGAACAAGAGAAACGAGGCATTTGAATATTGATATAAGATATACACATTATACATAACTCTCTATATACTAGTATTGTATTTAAATAATTATGGTTAATATTCTATTATACGCATATACATTTACGATCCCACGGGATGTACTATTTATACAATGATTTAACTGTAAACCTAATTAAGATTGCATTCAGACTTAATTCCGACAAGCAAGAATATTCTCGAAATCTGTTAAACTTAACCTAAGCTGTAAGCATTATAAAATGGAAACTTTTCGAAAGCAAACAATAAAATTACATACGAAAACCGAACGCCGAGCATCGTACGGAAATGCAGCCAAGCCACCAACTAGTTCAGAACACCCTACTCCCACCCACTTTCCCCCAAAAGAAAAAAGAAAAGCACACCAGACACACACCAAAACAGACCATCCCACGACACGATTATACCGAACAGGACACCCAACGAGGCGGTTAGGCTAAGGTTAAGTACCAACTAAACCACTGAACCCGATAACTGGGATGGGGGCCCAAGGCATTACCCATCCACCAATCAATCTATATCATCATTCTATACAAGCGTAAGCTCGCTGTCCGCACCTCCTACTCGCTCATTTCACACTCAGTTGCAACAGCAAATGATACTTGAGACAACAAGCAGACCAAGAACACCAACCACCAAGTAATCGTAGTCCTGGCTAAGGATCAGTCCCCGGCCCAGGCACACCATGTGTGGCAACACTCTCTGATCTAATGTTATCTGTACTTGTTCCTTTCCAACCAACCCAAAAACCAAACCACCACCCAAACCCATCCGATTCGAAACTCAGCTGGACGAATTCCGTCTTGAAATACAGAGAAGGGATCAAGAGATCCTGGCGATGGCGGCCAAAATGAAAACCCTCGAGGAGCAGCATCAGGTAAATTGAAACGCCAGCGCTCAAGTTTTCCGTTTGCACAGTAAAGTAATTCCCGTCAGGACTACCAGCGGCACATAGCGGTGCTCAAGGAGTCGCTATGTGCCAAAGAGGAGCACTACAACATGCTGCAGACCGATGTCGAGGAGATGCGCGCCCGGCTCGAGGAGAAGAACCGCCTCATCGAGAAGAAGACCCAGGGCACCCTGCAGACGGTCCAGGAGCGCAACCGCCTCACCAGCGAGCTCACCGAGCTCAAGGACCACATGGACATCAAGGACCGCAAGATCAGCGTGCTGCAGCGCAAGGTTAGACATCCCATCCCACCTATCCCTCCACTTTCAGCAGCAATTGGTTGCTTGTGACTAGAGAGAGCCAATTGTGCTTGAAATATTATTATTATGCAAGAATAGTTATGATTAAACATTAATTGGGGGAACTTAACATCATTCTACTTAAGCCTAATGCTCAGAGATTTTATTATACAAATTTAAATAATATATTCAGTTTACAAGAATCTTCAAAAGTAGTCAGTCCTTTGAAAGTGATAGTAAATATCTTGGAAAACTGCTAGCACACCAAAGTTTTCCAGATCGAAAAGATCTATAGCTTGGTTATGAGGTTACCTTTAGATGGGTGCTCACTGCTCAATTGCCGCTCTCTTCCGCTAGATTGAAAACCTCGAGGATCTGCTGAAGGAGAAGGACAACCAGGTGGACATGGCGCGAGCCCGTCTGTCGGCCATGCAGGCGCACCACAGCAGCTCCGAGGGCGCCCTGACCAGCCTGGAGGAGGCCATCGGCGACAAGGAGAAGCAGATGGCCCAGCTGCGGGATCAGCGGGACCGGGCCGAGCACGAGAAGCAGGAGGAGCGGGATCTCCACGAGCGCGAGGTGGCTGACTACAAGATCAAGCTGCGGGCCGCCGAGAGCGAGGTGGAGAAGCTGCAGACTCGCCTGGAGCGGGCGGTCACCGAGCGGGAGCGGCTGGAGATCAAGCTGGAGGCCTCGCAGAGCGAACTGGGCAAGTCGAAGGCTGAGCTGGAGAAGGCCACCTGTGAGATGGGCAGGAGCAGCGCCGACTGGGAGTCCACCAAGCAGAGGATCGCCCGCCTGGAGCTGGAGAACGAGCGGCTGAAACACGATCTGGAGCGTTCGCAGGTACTCGTGCATTATGACCAGTTCTTCCCCAGCATTAGCCACAACATAACTTATCATCAGTCTAATTCGTATGTATGTTTGCGCTGTGTACATATAATCGAGAGACTTGCATACATACTCGTACTGCTATTGATAATCTATGAACCCATATGCATACAAACACATATCTGTGTGCTATCTGTATCTACATCTATATCTATATCTATATCTGTATCTGAATATGTATTTACATGTACACATTACGCATCCCAACTACCAACTACCCAACTACAACAACTACAATTATAATAACTACAACAACCAATCAACCTGAATTAAAACTCACCCGACATAAATCAAATATAGATGCAGCTAGAAGAACAGACCACACTACACAAAGTAAGCCCAAAAATCCGAATTCCAAACTTCCAATTACCAACTAGATTGCATAATATCGAGTATCGTAGTTTTCGAGTAACGTAGTTTGAAATCCCTTCACCAAATTGTTCACTGTTGTATAAATGGCCTTGAATTCAATCGACCTTAGTAATACTTGTATTTTGGTAATGTCACAAAGCTGGCTTTGTTCTAAGATCAAACTGAAAGTAAGATTGGTAATTAGTTGCATCGAAAACGAATATGGAATATCGCTATTATGCAAAAGCGCACCTTTGATGTATAGCCCACACATATAACGTATCGCATCCAATTTAGAACCTTGTAACCATAACCCTAATCACCCAAAACACGTAGTACTTTGGCTTGCCATCGACTCCACTCCATCGACCATCACTCGCCACTTAGAGCCAGCAGGCTGAAGTCGAACCTAGCCAACTTCAGATCCGATAAAGCCCCGACATATTGCGCACTTAGATACTTAGACAGGATTAGCAGCACTCGCCTACATAGTTGGGTTTTGATTTAATCGCTGTGCAGACAGTGGGAGGTGTGAACAAGTTGTATGGCCGCCGAACATGCATACACCGTATAAGCGTACCCTAAGATTAAGATATAAATCTGTTCGTATCGTACTTTGCAGAACGTACAAAAGTTAATGTTCGAAACGGGCAAGATATCGGTAAGTCGGCCAAAGCCGCTGACCCAGCCTAATCCACATAGTTTACTAAGCGCCATAGCAGCCCAATTACAAGCCGAACTTAGAGTACCAAGCGTCAAATGCACCCAAATACGAGAGAAACGTGTGTGTCGAAATCCAAAATGCCACAAGCTCATTGAATCATTCACAGCTTCATGGATTCCATTCGGATCCATGGTAAACAGCTTGCCTGCTGGACTCACCGACTCATCGACTCATCGCCTCATCACCTCCAGTCACCCGCATTCGAATCCATATCTGTAAACACATTTGCTAATGCCTTGAACTGCTTTCGATTGTTGTCTTGCACTCGTTATCCTTGTCGCCCCATCCGCCTTGGCCAACCAACTAATTTGTATGTTTCCCGTTCTCCGCCGAAAGACAACCTTTGGCAGGACCACGATGACCACGTCCCAGGAGCTGGATCGAGCCCAGGAGCGGGCCGACAAGGCCTCAGCCGAGCTGCGACGCACCCAGGCCGAGCTGAGAGTCACACAGGTATGGTCCACATGCTCCCCCATTTGCCTGCGAATCGAGACAGCCATATACACATATCGATATGCATATCTGAATGCTCTTTTAGTTAGCTTTACCTGTATTATTTACGTATACTTTATGTATAAATCGAACTGCGAACTCGCAATTGCAAGTGCAATGCTCACATACAACTGCCTCTGTGTGTGTATATACGAGTATGCTGTACATGTACATATCTCGGTGTGCGTGTGCTTTGTTGATGGACCGCAAAAAATTCCGCCTGGCAATGAGGAGATTCTACACACCCACACTGAACACCAATACAGATACGAAAGTCGCAGGGATCCCCACCCACAACCTGTCTTAAAACTTTCTCTGCTGCAACATGCCACCCAACCAAACACACACACACACACACCCGAGCACTTGCTATGGCAAACACTGAGTCCTTTTGCGGGGATAAAGGATAATGAAATAGGGATAAAGTTGCTCAACTCGATTTAAACCGCTTTTATGTTTGCTTCTTTCGTAACTTTAACTTTAACTTTACCTTTAACTTTAACGTAACCGTAATGTATTAGTGAACTGTAAATGTAATCGTATTGTAAAGAATTTTATTGCAAACACCGCCGTTGAGACCATGTATACTAAAACCAAACTCTATCCAAACCGTTGTGCTTACATTCATTCTCTAAATATAGGGCGAAACTGAAAAACGTTTTGTGAGTAAACCGCTTCCAAGCAATCAATCAATCAAACAAGTTTTTAGTAACGCAACTAACCCTAATTGAATTCGATTGCAAACTCGAACTGCATCTGACTATGCCAAAGTAATCCAAAGAAACCCAAAAAAAAGATAACCAAAGCTAGTTGCAATCTGTCACTTGTTCAATTTAATGTAACTTGCATCGCCTGATCTACTAACATTGCCATACCAGCATATACATACGCACCTACCCATACACACACCCATACGTGCCTATAAATACAGCCCACGCACACGCATACATCATTGACCTTGTACGTTATAGCCTCGAGCTCATCTCTCCCTCTTCCGGTTTGTTCAGAAGAGAGAGCAGCCTGCCCGAAAACCGGAAGTAAGCGAAGTATGACAAAGTATCGCTACAAAGTATTCCCACACAAACACAAACACACAAACACACAAGCACACACACACGCACACACGTACAAGGACTGCAGGAAGCGGAAGGCCGCTGATATGCCCAGCTAATTGACTTAACTGCTCTCTCGCGCTCACAAACACTCGTGCATTGACACCCACACACACGCCAGCATTTCTTGCGCACACTTTGCCTTACTTTGCTCTCGCACTTTCGCCAATTTTCCCTAATTTTCCTCCTGCACTAATGAGCCATCTGTGGGCGTCTAATCCATTGCGAAATGGACTCCCCCTGCCCAAATGCCCGCCATGTGTCCCACAACAAGAGGGTCCACTGTTTCAAGCCATTACCCAGCTGCACCCTTTCCTTTTAACGCACTTAACTTCTGTACATTCGGTTGGAACTTCGTATTTGTTTTGCAAGTTTCTCCAAACTTTATTTGTCCGTTTGTTTCCAATATACGTGTTTATTTATCTGAGCTACGTTTATCCATTTCTTTGTTTTCAAAAGTTTTTTGAGCTTTTCCCACTGCTGTTTCCTCTACCTACTGGTTCCAGACCTTCTGTTATATAACCCCTCTGCTCCTCTTCTGTTCCCTCAACCACCAATTTCCCTCCTCTTTGTGAATCCTGCTGTACATCTCCATCAAAGTCAGCCGCTGGCTGGCAGCATAAATCGCTCTATATCGCTCGCTAGAAGTTGTGAACGTGTTCGTTATCGTAATTTAAGTACTTTTTGTCGTTATATTTGTCGTTTGTCACCTTAACCTCTCTGTTTCGTGTCTACTAATCAGTCAGTCAGACATTCAGTCAGTCAGTCAATCAGTCAGTCAGTCAGTCGAATCAGTCATTTAAGAACCTTTGTCCCACATAAAGGCCTGTAAATAATATCCGTTATCCAACATCCACTCTACCCACCCGACAACATGACAATCCCTCGATTGATAATGAAAACCGACCAAACCGACATCCGAAAACAGTCGGACGCGGAAAGAGCACGCGAGGAGGCGGCCGCCCTGCAGGAGAAGCTGGAGAAGAGCCAGGGCGAGGTGTACCGACTCAAGGCCAAGCTGGAGAACGCCCAGGGTGAGCAGGAGAGTCTGCGCCAGGAGCTGGAGAAGGCGCAGAGCGGCGTCTCTCGCATCCACGCCGATCGCGATCGGGTAGGCAAAACCACACAAAAACCGAATAAAATGAACCCCCCAATGAAACCCCATGAAAGACCCACCACCAACCAACCATCCAACCAACCAGTCACTCACCCAACCACCATCCGTTGCACAGGCCTTCTCCGAGGTGGAAAAGATCAAGGAGGAGATGGAGCGCACCCAGGCCACGCTGGGCAAGTCGCAGCTGCAGCACGAGAAGCTGCAGAACTCGCTGGACAAGGCCCAGAACGAGGTCGACCATCTGCAGGATAAGCTGGACAAGGCCAGCACGGAGAACCGCCGCCTGGTGCTCGAGAAGGAGAAGCTCACCTACGACTACGACAATCTGCAGTCGCAGCTGGACAAGGCGCTGGGCCAGGCGGCCAGGATGCAGAAGGAGCGCGAGACCCTCTCCTTGGACACGGATCGCATTCGCGAGAAGCTCGAGAAGACGCAGGTATGCCCGGGTCCCACTCCCCGCCCCCAGAACCACCTACACACCACGCCACACTCTATCTGAGCCCATCTTCGAGAGACTAGCTAACCGAAAATCTATGACTGTAAACGTAACTGTGTTGTGCTAACCCCCAGAGATAAACTAAAACTAAAGCCCGCTTAGATCGATGTGATTGCTATTGCTTAATCCCCGAACACCCTAACCCCCGCCCGCCTTGTACATAACTAAGAACTATTTATCCCTAACATGTATCTCTACGTATGCGTAACTATCTTTCGACTGTGACACCCCAACACCACACTCACAACTAAAACATACACACACCACCACGAAATACCAGGTGCAACTGGGTCGCATACAGAAGGAGCGGGATCAGTTCTCCGACGAGCTGGAAACGCTCAAGGAGCGCTCGGAGTCGGCACAAACCCTGTTGATGAAGGCCGCCCGCGACCGGGAGGCGATGCAAACGGATCTGGAGGTCCTCAAGGAGCGCTACGAGAAGTCACATGCCATCCAGCAGAAACTCCAGGTAATTGACACCCAACCCCACCAGCGAAGGCAATTGCTTCAGGTATCCTCTGCGAAAACGAAACCCAAAACTATTGGCTATCACCCCAAACTAAACTTTATACTATATATATTATAAAAGATACGTTGTCTGTACTGCATATTGTTTGAAAAAGCGCATGAGAACTGAACTAAGAAATCAGAACAATTGGCTGTTTGTGTAAATCCGTAGCTACATGCCATTGGCAACTCAAATTCGCAGAGCTAACCCCTTGCTTCACCTATCACTTGCTTTCAGATGGAGCGCGACGATGCGGTCACCGAGGTGGAGATCCTGAAGGAGAAGCTGGACAAGGCACTGTACGCCAGCCAGAAGCTGATCGACGAGAAGGACACGTCCAACAAGGAGTTCGAAAAGATGCTGGAGAAGTACGATCGCGCCCAGAACGAGATCTATCGGCTGCAGTCGCGCTGCGATACGGCCGAAGCGGATAGAGCCCGCCTGGAGGTGGAGGCGGAGCGATCCGGCCTGGCAGCCAGCAAGGCTCGCGAGGATCTGCGCAAGCTGCAGGACGAGAGCACACGGCTGCAGGAGGCCTGCGATCGGGCGGCGCTCCAGTTGAGCCGCGCCAAGGAGTGCGAGGACAATGCGCGCAGCGAGCTGGAGCACAGTCGCGATCGCTTCGACAAGCTGCAGACGGACATACGGCGGGCGCAGGGCGAGAAGGAGCACTTCCAGTCCGAGCTGGAGCGGGTCACCTACGAGCTGGAGCGGGCACATGCCGCCCAAACGAAGGCGGGCGCCAGCGTGGAGGCGGCCAAGGAGGAGGCGGCCCACTATGCCGTGGAGCTGGAGAAGATGCGCGACCGCTACGAGAAGAGCCAGGTGGAGCTGCGCAAACTGCAGGACACAGACACCTTTGGCCGGGAGACGCGACGCCTCAAGGAGGAGAACGAGCGGCTGCGCGAGAAGCTGGACAAGACGCTCATGGAGCTGGAGACCATTCGCGGCAAATCGCAGTACGAGTCGGAGTCGTTCGAGAAGTACAAGGACAAGTACGAGAAGATCGAGATGGAGGTGCAGAATATGGAGTCGAAGCTGCACGAGACCAGCCTGCAGCTGGAGCTGTCGAAGGGCGAGGTGGCCAAAATGCTGGCCAACCAGGACAAGCAGCGATCCGAGCTGGAACGGGCGCACATCGAGCGGGAGAAGGCCAGGGATAAGCATGAGAAGCTACTGAAGGAGGTCGATCGTTTGCGCCTGCAACAGTCCTCGGTGAGCCCCGGCGATCCGGTCCGAGCGTCGACGTCCTCCTCTTCCGCTCTGTCCGCTGGCGAGCGGCAGGAGATCGACCGCCTGCGGGATCGCCTGGAAAAGGCGCTGCAGTCGCGTGACGCCACCGAGCTGGAGGCCGGTCGCTTGGCCAAGGAACTGGAGAAGGCGCAAATGCATCTGGCCAAGCAGCAGGAGAACACCGAGTCCACGCGCATCGAGTTCGAGCGCATGGGCGCTGAGCTGGGTCGCCTGCACGATCGCCTCGAGAAGGCCGAGGCTGAACGGGAGGCACTGCGTCAGGCAAGCCGGAGCGGCGGAGCAGGCGCTGCCGCCCATCCGCAGCTGGAGAAGCACGTCCAGAAGCTGGAGTCGGATGTCAAGCAGCTGGCCATGGAGCGGGAGCAGCTGGTACTGCAGCTGGAGAAGAGCCAGGAGATCCTCATGAACTTCCAGAAGGAGCTCCAGAACGCAGAGGCCGAGCTGCAGAAGACGCGCGAGGAGAACCGCAAGCTGCGCAACGGCCACCAGCTGCCGCCTGCCGCCGCTCCACCCGCCGGAGCCACTCCCGCCGAGATCCAAGCCATGCAGAAGGAGATCCAGACCCTCCAGCAGAAGCTGCAGGAGTCGGAGCGCGCCCTGCAGGCCGCCGGTCCCCAGCAGGCCCAGGCTGCAGCGGCGGCGGGAGCGAGTCGCGAGGAGATCGAGCAGTGGCGCAAGGTCATCGAGCAGGAGAAGGGTCGCGCCGACATGGCGGACAAGGCCGCCCAGGAGATGCACAAGCGCATTCAGGTGAGCATCGATGTGGACACACTGAGCACAAGGAGCTTGTCCTGAGCACAACATACTTTTGATACTTTCTAACACATTCACTTATTTCCACACATTTTTTATGTCAATATGTAAGTACTTAATGTTATCATTTGGTTATTGCGTTACAAATTACGTTCGTTACTTTGAATGGGTGTGATCAATTTTTATTGGCGTTCCATGTTACACAATTATACATCGCAATAAAAAGTAAGCTGAGATTCTAATGCATTTAAATGGTTTAGCTTATGGACCAACACATCAAGGATCAGCACGCCCAGATGCAAAAGATGCAGCAGCAGATGCAGCAGCAGCAGCAGCAGGCGGCGCAGCAGCAGCAGCAGGCGGCGCAGCAGCAGCAGTCCGCAGCAAGTGCCGGCGGAGCGGACGCCAAAGAGCTGGAGAAGGTCAGGGGCGAACTGCAGGCGGCGTGCACCGAACGGGATCGCTTCCAGCAGCAGCTGGAGCTGCTGGTCACCGAGCTGGAGAAGAGCAAGGTGGGTTCACCAAGCCAACAAATAATCATACATCCAGTAAACGCTCTTTACCCCTTAGATGTCCAACCAGGAGCAGACAAAACAGCTCCAAGCGGCACAGCAGCAAGTGCAGCAGCTGCAGCAGCAGGTACAACAGTTGCAGCAGCAGATGCAGCAACTGCAGCAGGCTGCCAGTGCGGGCGCAGGCGCCACCGACGTGCAGCGCCAGCAGCTGGAGCAGCAGCAGAAGCAGCTGGAGGAGGTGCGCAAGCAGATCGACAACCAGGCCAAGGCCACCGAGGGCGAGCGCAAGATCATCGACGAGCAGCGCAAGCAGATCGACGCCAAGCGCAAGGACATCGAGGACAAGGAGAAGAAGATGGCCGACTTCGACGTCCAACTGCGCAAGCGCAAGGAGCAGATGGACCAGCTGGAGAAGTCACTCCAGACGCAAGGAGGCGGAGCGGCGGCCGCCGGCGAGCTGAACAAGAAGCTCATGGACACGCAGCGGCAGCTGGAGGCGTAAGTGTTTCCCCAACCATCTAAATATTTTCCTGCCAAAAAAAAAGTCCAAAAACGATAATATAGAACCAGATAAAGCGCTTACTTACTTGTAACTCAAGTTACAATAATCTCTAAATACGGACACCTCGACGTTTATACGGACAAAATAACGGACAAACGGGAGTGGGTCGGAAATTGGTTCTAATCTAGAGCATAAAACCTCATAGGAACTGAATGGCTTATTTTTTGTATTCGAGGAATACTATATATTATATATTGTTGCAACCCGATTTCAGCTGCGTCAAGGAGCTGCAGAATACAAAGGAGGAGCACAAGAAGGCGGCAACCGAGACGGAGCGCTTGCTGCAACTGGTACAAATGTCGCAGGAGGAGCAGAACGCCAAGGAGAAGACCATCATGGATTTGCAACAGTGAGTGCCTCAGTGGCTAGTATGCCCAAACATTATAATGAATTCGTTCCCTCTTTGCCCCTTTTAGAGCCTTAAAGATCGCTCAAGCCAAAGTCAAACAAGCACAAACGCAGCAGCAGCAACAGCAGGATGTAAGTTAGCCTCAGTGAGTGGCATCCAAGGATATGTCTAATACCCGATCCTTATCCCATTTCAGGCTGGGCCAGCTGGCTTCTTGAAGAGCTTTTTCTAAACAGTGCCCTCGCAAAGCCACAGATACACACATCTAGTGATGCAGATGAGGCAAAAGGATTTTACCCGTACTATTTACCCAAAGCGATAATGGAAAACCAAAAACAACAGCAAGAAGTTACCAAAGCACTGTCTACTATTTTGTATACTACCGATGCCGATACCAATACCAACTATGCAGTATTTCTACGACTCTCACACACACACACACACACTGAAACACAAAAGGGACACACACATTTGTAAATGACACTATGTAAATGCAATGCGAAATGCAAATTATTTGATATTTATGTGTACTGTGTAATTAGGTTGCCGCTATACTCAAATTGTGGATGCATTTAAAAGTCAGCTCGTATAGCGTACTTTGTAAACTCTCTCTTAACTCTCTCTCTCTAACTCACTAACTCAATCCTTTTCGAACTCAAAATCGAACTCAACTTAAAGTTTATCGTTAGCCAAAACACCAAGTCCTTCTTAGCCCAATTAACCCAACTTGAGAGTCCTTCTGTCCGTCACTTTCTCTCTGTCGCTCGTAGCTGCAGCACGTAGACTACGTCCTCGGGCACTGCATCCCCATCCCAACCCCATACCCATGTCCATACCCATACCCATATCCATGCCCATCAGCCCTACAGAATTTGTGTAAGACCCACCCATTAGTTTTCCCACTGCGCGGATGTTATGGCATTGAAATTGAAACGCGAAGAAAGGCAGAGCAGCAATTGCATTAATTGTGCACCTACAATTATCGACGATATATAGATATATGTATGCTAGCCTCTGTTATAGTTAGTCAAACATGAGCCTCCATCCCATACGCCCATCAAACGCACTGTATATAAGACATTCCCATCGGACTCATGGCGGAAAAGCATAGAGATACAGATACAGATACGGATACGGATACAATACGTAGAGCAATAAATGATAGACCACAGATTATACAAGTATGATATAGATACGAGTACCATATGTAAAATTATTGCGATTATAAAATTATATTGCCTAGCCTTTAGCCGTGTACCAAAGAACTATCACTACAGAACCCAAAGGAAGATCACTACCTACCATTCAGCTATTATGGATATTATCGATAAAATAAACTCGAACGTCAACTACAAGTGCAATCTATATTTTAATTAGTTAAATCTACACGACACCCCCACGTTCCTTACCCCCGACTAAATAGATCGAGTCCACTACGCAAGCTTTACCCAAGTCAGCTGTGAATGCGCATAGTACGAGTATCTAGTACTTATGGTACTCATAGTACTCATAGTACTCATAGTACTTATAGTAGATCGATAGTTCCACTCTAGTCCAGGTCACTCGAAACGTTGCTTTTGGTTTAGATAAGGTTCAAAAGTGTTATTGTTATCAGACATGAAGGACTTATGCCCCTGTAATGCATACATAGCTATAGAGGAGTAGTTGCAAGTGTGTACAAATGATATAGTACCCTATATAGTACATTTTCGTTGCCTATAATTTCCCGACTTAATGAAAGTAGAAATGGAAGAGGAGAGGCAAGAAATACGATGGTTGAACGAAGTATGGAGTTATCACTGCCAGTGTAAGCAAGAATATTGATAGATGGGGAAATGTAAGATCCGTTTAATCCTAGGGCCTATCATTAGGATATCATTTGGCTTTCGGTTACCAAAGAAACCAATCACGAAGACATTCAGCGAGAGACGCGAAGCAAGAGACACGACACAATCATATCATACAAGCCTATATCATAGCCCCCCAAAAAACCAAAAAACCAAGGATAGCTGACCCTAGCGCTTTAAATGTCCTCGGATCCTGCCAACCATTCTAGAACGATCGATTGTTGGTAATTTAATTGATAAAGCACCCCCCTCCTACCTTTTAGGCAATCGATTAACGACCAAGTAAACTACGATAGAGCTGCACTCTCTGCTTTCTTTTCGGTTTCGCAATCGTTCGATTTGTGTACATAAGTTAGGGTCCTGCATTTCGCGCCAAATGAGTTCCCCAAAAAGTTCCTATAGCAGGAACCTCGGGTCTTGGAGCCTCGGTGCAGCTGGAGGGTCAGAAAGCCATACGAGTTCGCGAGTTCGAGTCAAGTAAAAGTTAGTAACATCTTCGTGCTCGACAGAAGTGTACATAAGTGTCTAGTTGTGTAAGCATAACAGCAGCTGTATAATATATGAAAGTCTACTATATACGATATAATGTAATCATCAATCTATATCCAGACCATTGAGAACACGAGAACAATTACTATCGACAAATCAAACCGAACAAACTTCACACCGTAGGACACATCACTTTGGCTACTACCAAACACACCACGTTGACAATACAATCACCCACAAAAACACGTTGACACTGAACACCCCCTTACCCCATATTACACCACTCAATTACGATCCATTGACGCTAGATGGAAGCCAACATATCCGAGACGAGGTGGCGCTAATCTCATGTTAACTGGGCCCCAAGTATCACACACTCGTATGTACGAACCGCCATTTTGGGAGCGATTTCCTAGCGCTAATCACTCGATTAGTAGGTCACCAGTCACCAGTCACCAGTCAGCGGTCACTGGTCACTTTCACCTTCGATCTTGATCTCGATTTGCAGTTATAGAGGATGAAACGTTTGCCTTTAACTACTTAACTTAACTTACCACGTATCGTATTGTTAGCCTAGATAGTCTCAATTACAGCAGCAGCAGCGGCAGTGACGAACAAACTGAGATTAAGAACATGAACTAACGGTCTATCTACTTACAGTATTTGCCGTAACACTTTAATCATATTATCCCCGCCGTCGTGTACCCTACTTACAAATACAAATACAAATACGAATACGAATACAAATACGAATACGAATACGAAACTATCGGATAGCAAGAAAAGCTTCGACAACTTTTTCTATACAAATCTAGCGAGCATAACAATAACAAGAGATATATGATAAATCGAAAAAGCAACCCCCCAATTCCCCCCAATTCTCGTATAATGTAATTTAGCAAATTGTAAACTGAATATAGGCAGACACTCGCTGGCAAACAAAAGCCCGAATATCAGGCGAGAATTGATGGCAGATTAATGAATTTATATGGGAGAGTCTCGATCGGAAGTCGAGCGTTACCTATCGATAAAGCTAGCGAAGAATTATAGCCCCAGTGTGTACTTCTCTGTACATAGACCTATATATATATATAATACTTACGATTATGACTAGAGCAAAGCATACGATAGACGAAATATAGGAATATAGGGAAACAATGCATATACATACATAGCAGATATGGAAAGAGAGCGCAAATTATATAGATACTACTGCATCACACATCAAGATCAAAGCCGAAGATCGTAGTCAGAGCAAAAACTTCGATGGAGAGGAGGAGGCAGAGCAGAAGTCTAGATCTCCCAGAAACAAAGTCCCCAAACTGAAACCGATACCGAATTATCCGCAGATGAGCAACAAAAGCATTAAGCAAATGAAAGAACAACAATTTCGTGTAACATTTTTTTAAACAAGTTTGGTGATCTACGATATTGGTAATAATTATTGATAAATAAAGTAATATAAAAGGATATATATATACATATATATATACACATACATATATTATACAAATATATGAGGTAAGGCCCAGTACTCAGAACGACAATTTGTTAATTGTCTTGTTAAGTGACGAAGTCATGTTTAACACAGTGTGACTTGTCGTCTGCGACTTGTCAACGGATTGCAAAAATCGCCGATACTGTGCTGTCGCAATTGCATTCTGATTTTTCCAAAAATTTTGCATTGAAAAACTTGTGATTGAACAAATAAAGCTTGCCGATCTGAGCACTGGACTTTGAGCAGGAGTAGGCAAAAAATAAGAACGGAAACAAGGGGAGGCATACATAAAGTACGAGTAAATATTTATTATATAATGTTTTTTAAGTAACTTATAGTAAGCCATTATATATACACACATATATATATATATAAATTATACATATATGAAACTACATAAGTTTACAAGGTATATGACAAAAACAAAAACAAAAACAAGAACAACAAGAACAACAAAAAACAAAATTAAGAATCAACCACAACAAAAAGAGCAACAAAAATGGTAAACAACAAAAAACAAACGCAACCGCAGCAACTAAACAAAGTAAACGATTAGAGATGAGGTGGGAAAATATTATAATAATAAAGTAAATAAATTTATTATATACATACATACATAGAAGAATATTACAAATGGGAGAAAAGTCGAGCAAAATGAAAGCGAGATGAAAATGATTATTTGAAACATGTTCATTATATATAAATGTCATTAAAAATGTTCTTCAAAACTGCCTACCAATAAAATATATTTCAAATAATATCAACCAGTGTCCTATTAAATTGTCTATGCTTTTGGAAGTTTTTCTCAATGCTAGTGGGAAAAAAGTCAAGTTACTATTAATCTTTTTGTAATTACTAAGTTTGCGTAAGTCTTACATTCTACTTTTTTTAAATACGCGCTTCTGATATGGCGCTGCCACTTCGTATCAAATGAGCGTTGCCATATCAGCCCTTGCTAACTCTACACGGATTCTGTACGCTATTGATGTAGGTTGTATGTAAAATAAATGTATGTACAATGGCTTGGATCTCTGCTAACAATTCCGAAAATAATATTAAATAATATTTTTCTTAGGTTGCATTTGTACGTATTTTTATAAAGAAGAAACTAAGAAATTGTATCGCATTTTTAGAAACTCCCTTTTACCCCCTTTTAAACAAGCTTAACCTTTAATACTTCTACTTCTATGGTTATAAGTATATAGATTTTCATAAGCAAACACGACAAAATTGCATTGTACAAAGAACAATTCCAATTCCAAAAAGTTCAACATTCTCCTGTCGCTTTTGAAACAAAATGGCCCCAGGCACTTAGAAAATCCATTTTACACCGCTCGGACAAAAGTTTCGAGTTCCAGGCAAACTTTTGCCTGCACCGCAATGTTGAACATTCCGGTGGGATAAGATATTTAGAATTGCTGGCAAAAAAATTTAATCAGCCCTGGAAGAGAAACATTCATTACGGCTCCTTAACTTATGTATTTTATCAGCTTGCAACGGGCACCATGCCCCAAAACTCCGCTTTTCCGCTTTTCCAGCCCGCAGTTTTCTGGGTTCGGGCGGCGCGTTTCGTTGGGTGGCAAGTGGAGCAGTGACAGCTGCCCTATAAAATATTAAAAGTCGCACACACACATACAGCCAGAATGGGCTGCAGAGCGTCGTGTGATGTAATCCATATTGCTGGAGCCATGTAACGCAGGAAGGGTACTCTAAATACATGCACACACCTATATACACCGTACATAAGGCACATGGCTCCTATGTGTAATGTATACATTACATGGCCCCATATATCCAGCCCACCTACAATTGGATTACCACCAACAACAGGGTCTCGGAAAAAGGAAAAGCGGCGGAAAAGCTCCTTGGGCGCCACACCCACCCATACCCCCATACCCCCATACCCCGCCCCTTTTTGGCGCATGTGCCGCTGCCGACGCCGCCGTCGCTGCCGCTTTTATCGATTGACCCAATTTGCGGGCATAAAGTAGTTGGGCGCTTTTTATACCAGCCACCCAACCCCAACCAACTGAAAGCAACCCACCCAACCACCCACTAAATTGCGCCATTCGCAGTGTTGTAGCCACCCCCGCAGATTCCAATGGTTTCCTTGTCCTTTCAACGTCCTTTACTTTCCACTCGGGAAATCGCACACATACACACATGTGTGCATTCCAAGGGAGTGTTTATTTTTACTGCAAAGCCCTTAGAAAAAACTATCTAATCACTAACTAATACTAGTTACTTTTCGAAGGTAAGTTCAATGTATGTGCGCCACTATCTAATCAGTGACTCTTTTGTGCGAGGAAAACTATTATACATAAATTCCGTTTCTGTAGCTTCGCTCTATAACTTGATGATATCTTAGAGACTGGAAAACCATATTTTAGGCCAATAAATTTCCCAATCTGTGTTTAACACAGA